GGGGAGAAGGGTGCAACAATGAATGAATGGAATCCCAAAATCTCTGTAGATGTTCATTGAAATGAAAAATAAACAACCTAAATTTAAAAAAAAAAAAAAAGAATGCAAAAGAGAACCAAGGATATCTTGTCAAATCCAAATCCAGTGGAAGGTGTGGTGGAGGTGGCTCTGTGATTTCTACACTGAGGGGAGATGTGCTCAAAGGGAAAATAGTTCTGAGTGCTCCAGCAACCCACTGAGGAAGGTGCCAGGGTTGCCCTGGGGCCATGAAGTCTAACCTGTGCTGTCTTTTAGCCTCAAGGCTAATCCAGTGATCAGATTTCAGCTGATCAGACAATGGAATGTTTTTCTACTGGATGCTTATGTTTTGTTTTGGGTGGGTTGTTTGTTGGTTTTTTAAAAAAAATTTAATGAAAGTTTATAAAAAAACTTGGATTTCCATTCATTCATTTTTTGTTCATTCATTGTTGCACATTATCCTCCCTGCCCACCTCTGCCCCGCCACCCCGAGTTTGCATTTTTTTCTTTGGAGAAAAAGTGCTTTCCTTGTTTCCCTCTCAACCCCCAGACCACTTTACTATGCAGCTCTTATTCTGGACTCTTGCTATGCCAATAATACCTAATCATATATTCCTTTTATACAGTTCTCTCCCTCATCTGTACCTTATTTATCACCTCTTTTCTTAGTTTGCCCCCAATCCCAATGTCAGTCCTGTTTTATAAGTGGCTTTATGCAATATTTGTCCTCCATGATCACCCATTTTGTATAATATTTCATGAGTCCCTTGTTTTTCAGTGCTGCATAATAATATTCCATTGTGTGGCTGTACCACAGCTTGTCTATCCATTTGTTTGTTGATGGGCACTTGGGTTGTTTCGAACTCTTTGCTCTTGTGAACAAAGCTGCAATAAACATGGGTGTGCAAGGATGCTTATGTTTGACCATCATCTATTTCTACTTTCATCTAGATCTCTCATCAACTTGACAATTCCATCAGAGGGGAAAAGTCAATATCAGCCTCAATTTGACCAACACACTCTCATTCGCTATATTTGTTTCCAAAGATATGCAAAGCCTGGAGCATCGTGGTATAATGAAACCACATATCAAAGGGACTACACTCTGCCATTTTACAAGATTGGTAAGATGCTCTGAACCCGCTGGGGGACAGTGAGTTGGATGCTCCCATGGAGCTCATGGGGAATGTAGCAATAACCACATGAACTTTTCAAATCCTGAATTATTGTGATGCTGCTGTAAGGGGAATAAATAGGGTAACGAGAATAACTAAGGCAAGGTGGTTAAAGTGCATAGATAGTCAGGGGAAACCTTAACCGTTTAGTTTAGCTTTGAAAAATCACTGAGCTGCATAAATAGCATTTCAAGAAAAAGGAACATTTAAGTGCAAAAGCCTGAAAGCTGGAAAGGGCTTGACATATTTGGGAAAGAGAAAGGAAACCAGGGGCTGTGAGTGGAAAGGAGACCAGATTTAGGATATTCTAAGAATGACAGGAGCTCTGGTGGCCTGGTGGTAAGACACTCTGCTGCAATCCCAAGGCATGTGGTTCAAATCCACCAGCTGTTCTGTGGGAAAAGGATGGGCAGTCTCCTCCCCTGTGATTAAATGCCTCTGAAAACCCACCGGAAGGTCAGCTATGGGTAGGCTCATACTTGACAGTACACAACAAGAACAATGAGGGATTTTGAACAGAAGAGCAACTTACCAGCTGTACTTTTGAAAGATCATCCTGGGTGAAATTACTACAACCGATTGAAGAGAGATAAGGAGGAGAGCATGAAAAACAGTGAGGGATCTAACCAGAAATGACAGTGGCTTAGACCAGCAGGAGGTGACCACAGCTGGACTTGCAGGCGAGAACCAGCAAGGAATCATCATACAAGTCCTCCTGCATAAATGACGCTAACCTGTCTATGTGGCGCTGTGTTGTTTGCTTAAAATGCTGTTTAGTGTGTTTCAATTCCTAGTGACATCAAGTGTGCAGAGAAAAACTGCTCCACCAGGTTTTCACCTTTCAGAAGCAGATCACCACATCTCACCACTGAGGCACCAGTGTGCGTCTGAACCACCAACCTTCCGCTTCGCAGCCTTGCGCTTAGTCTATGGTGCTATACCAAACCCACACCCCCTGCTGTGGGTTCGGACTCATCTTGACCCTCCTATCGGTTCCTGAGGCTGTAAATCTTTGTGGGAGGAGACAGCTGTTCTGTGGAGCAGCTGGTAGATTCAACAGTGCCTTCTTGGTTTGCAACACAAGCCGTTCCACGCTGCGCCACCAGGTCTCCTTTGTGGTATGATCAGAACACACTGTAAGACATCAGGAACAGTGTCCTTGATAAAATGATGAGAAGAGCTGGAGGATGCATTAGAACTGGGCAAGGAGGGGAGAAAGTTTCACACAGGATTCGGCATGTACGCAGGTTTTGTGTAAGGAGTATGAGTTTGTCTGAAAATATGGGAATAAAACTGAAAACAAACTCACAATGTGCTAACACAGAGGGACAATGGGACAGAGTGGCTGGAGAAGCAGCCAGGATCAGAACAAGGTGATAGAGCACATTGGAATAGCACCACTCTATCGTGCATCTTCTCCCAGAGAAAAGATCGAGGGTTCTTTTTCTGTTTTCATGACAAGGCTAGGCTGCCACTCAGGGTCTCCATCCTCCTTTCTAACAAGTGCCTGATGTTTATGAATGGAAAAGAGAGGCTGAGGGGCAGTAGCCAGAAAACTTGCAGATAATAATTAAAATTTTGTTGAATGTCTTTGTTCAGTGCATATTATCAATTTGTAAACATTAAGATTTTGTCTCTCCCTTCAATTCAGACGTATAGATGACCCTGTGAAGGTCATTAAATGTCCCCCTACCTATTATAAGGGAGCTCCGGTGGCCTAGTGGTAAGGAGCTGCACTCCAGTCTTGAAGGCACACAGTTCAAACCTGCCCTTCAGAAGGATGGACAGTCTCCTCCTGCGGGATTAAACTGTCTCTGAAAACTTGCTGGAAGGTTATCTATGTATTGGTTCTGGTTCTACCGTATAAACAACAACCCATTATAGGTTATTTTTAGGGTTTTGATCTCTAGCTGTGATTATTGGAAAACAGTTAAAAAGTTTAAGGATGGACATGAGTAGAACTGCATTTTGGGACAATTTAACCTCTGGGAAGAAAGGGGGAGGGGACAGGGGAGGGAATGAGAAGGCAGCTGCAGTGCTGGAAACAAAAGGTTCTTAACCTCAGCTACCTGTCAGTAAAACCACCGAGGAGCTACCAAGATACTGAAATATATTGACTATTATGCTCCAAACCAAAATTAAATCAGAAACTTCCCAGGAAGTGAAATCCAAACAAAGCAAACTTCCAAATCCGGGTTAGCAGTGCTGTCATCAGGTATCAAAACTATTATGACTCATATTATTGTTGTTGTTAGATGCTGTCGAGTCAAATATGACTCAATAGCAACCCTGTGAGCAAAAGATCTGAACCCTGTCCTGCCCTGTGCCGTCCTCACACTTCCTGACACACAAGAGCCCACTGCAGCAGTCACCGTATCAGAAGACCCTTAGTTGAGGGTCTTCCTCTCCTTCGCTGACCCTAGACCCTTCTCCAAGGAACAGCCCTCTCCAAACGACGTGCCTAAAGGATGTGAGGCGAAGTCTCATCATTCCAGCCTCCAAAGAGCACTCCAGCTTCACCCTCTCCAAGACATAGCTGTTCTCTTGGCTGTCCATGGGACACAGATAGAAACTTTGCCCTATCTTGTGCCATCTTTCCTATTTCTGCCAAGTTCAAGCCTGCAGTCACTGTGTCAGTCCATCTTGCAGGGGGTCATCCTCTCTTCTGCTGACCCTTTACTCTTCCTAGCCTCATGTTGTTTTCCAAGGATGCCCTCTGACAACATGCTCAAAGTAACATCGTTGTTGTTTTGTGTCATCGAGTCAGACTGACTCCTGGCTGACCCTCCAGTGGGTTTTCAGAGGCAATAAATCACATGTGAGGAGATTTTCCATCTTTATCCTGCAGAGCAGTTAGTGGATTTGAACCATGTGCCTTAGTGTTGGCAGCTCAACTTCTTAACATTAGGCCACTAGGAACTATTTCTTTCTTGAACTGCTACGGACAGTGGAAAGAACAATAAAATGGTAAATCCTGGGTTAAATATGGGTTCTTTTTCTTCCAAACTGTGTAAAATTGGGCAAGTTCATTAATTTCTCTAAGAAGAAATATAAATAAGAAATATAAGAAGTATCATTGTAATCTGAGTTAATATAACATCAAAGTAAATGAATCACCGGCAGTGTGTGCTATATTTTGTTGTTGTTGTTACAGCTCTAGCATTCAAACATTGGCTTTGGTTCATTGAGTATGAATACAACAGTTGTAGTCAATGCTCTTTTGGTGGTGTTGTTATTGTTAAGTGTCGTTGAGTCGTAAATGACTCATAGTGACCCTATGAATGAAAGACCTAAACACTTGTATAACTTTCATCATTTCTCCAAGTTCATAGAGTTTCAGGAGGCAAGGTATTTCAGAAGTGGATGCCACTCCTGCTTCCAAGCTTGTTTTAATCAGGGAGCTCCACCAAACACTGTCCACCATGGGCAACCATTATCACATTTGACACATCAGTGTTACAGGGTTCAGCATCAGAGCAACCACAAGTTACCTCTGTACAGCAAATGGACAGACCAGATGCTCTTTTGAGCCTTTACATTAATATAAGCATACCTGAGAGTGATTGTGGCCAAGAGCAAGACAGACATGAGAGGACTCTAGTGGGCATGGATGGTAAGAAATGTGTTTAATACTAAGATGATGATTCAGAGTGGTCCACTGACAATGCAAGATATAAAGAGTTGGAGGTCTGAAATTAGCATATCAAGATACAAAGTTATAGTATTTATTAATTTTTATTTACATTTTGGTATTAAGTCCTTTTGACTAAGTCTCTTTTTCCATACCTTTTAAACCGATTCCTTTGCATTACATTTCATACATGATTTTGTTACTTGAGCTTGACTATATTGAAATTTAGGAGCCAGTATTCTTAAAACAAGTCCTACTTTGTTTTAAATTCCAGATTGGAACCAGAAATTAGCCACAATATCATCGAATCCTAGGCCACTCTGCTGTTGTGAAGAAAAATGTGACTTTGAAAGACACACTTAAAATAACCATGGCATTCAGAATAACATTTGGCATGCTTGCGTAACTCATTTGAACTAAGGTAATGATATCATGGCTGACATGATTTAAAGTGCACACCCAGCTGATTACAAACCTAAAATATTTACAGGTTGCAAATTCTCTTCAGATGAAGCTAGTCTGCTTACTCAAGGGAATCAAGACCCAGCTTGAAGAGAGCTTGTCCCCATTCTGAGCCCAGCTACCAGACTCACTGCTCGTGTTGGTGGTTGTTGCGTGACGAGTCAGAACTAACTCATAGCTGACCCTCCGGTGGCTTTTCATAGGCTTAAATTGCATGGGACGAGGCTTCCCATCTTTCTTCTGTGGAGTAGCTGGTGGATTTAAACTATATGCCTTGAATTGTGGCAGCACAACTTCTTACCACTAAGCGATCAGAGCTCCCAGATAGTTTTGGTAAATAGTCTTAAAAAGAGTTCAACCATTACATGGGAAATTAGGCAGAAGATAATTGTGTCTGCTCAAACTATCATTGGTGTTTTGTGTTTTTTCTAAAGCAGCAGGAGCATACTTGAGGAGATCTGGGGAATTGTGGGCTGTTACTCTATCTGTCATAATTATTAAACTGCCAATTCTTTATAAATTGATCCACAGATTCAACACAAGTCACTATCAACATTTTATCAGACGTGTGGGGGGGGGCAGGAGGTGCAGAAATGGACTACTCCTTAAATCTATATGGAATGCAAAAAGATTCAGAATAACCTAAATAACAGTGAAAAAGAACAAAGCTGGAAGACTTACACCCCTCAGATTCAAGACACATTGCTGAGCAAGCTACCCAAACACTTGACCATCATCAGGTTGATTCTGATACTCAGTGACCCTCCATTGGGTTTCAGAGGCTGTAAATCTTCATGGAATGACAGGGTCCATCCTTCTTCTAAGGAGCTGCTTGCTGGTGGATTCAAACCACTGACCTTCAGGGTTCAGTCCAGCACATAATCTCTAAAGACTCAGCCTGTAAAATTATGCTAAATGCCTGTGAAGAGACACTCCCCCAAACCTGCAACCCAATCACACCTACCCAAAGTTACTCAGACCGTGATTTACAGCATGGAGATTTCAGATCAATCATGGCATGTCCAGGTACACCTGAGCAATGTGTTTACTGAGCAACTATTAGCATTTGTGGTTGAGTATCTAATATTCTTAAAAATTAATGAAATTATATGCTTGTAAAACTATGTTGTTGTTGTTGTTGTTGTTGTTATGTGCCATTGAGTGGACTACGACTCATAGAGACCCTATGCACAATAGTTCTGAACTCTGCTCTGTCCGAAGCCAATCTCACTATCTCTGACACACCTACCCTGATTATCCCAGTTATCGTGTCATTCCATCACATCTGGAGTCTTCCTCTCCTGCACTGTCCATCCACCTTTCTAAGGCCTGGTCCCTCCTGGCAAAGCAAACTAAAGATATTTTGCCCCAAGTTTAGAGCAACATATAGGGAGCTCTGGTGGTCTTCTGCAATCCTGAAGGCACATGGTTTGAATCCACCAGCTCCTCCATGGGAGAAAGAGGGGCAGTCTCTGGTGTGATAAAGATCCTTTAAATCTGAGGTGCGTGGTTCAAATCCACCAGATGCTCTGCTGAAGAAGGAGGAACAATCGCCTCCTGTACCAGTCAGGTCCAATTTGATGGTACACACATAAAAAAAAGAAATAAAAATTTAAAAAAATTACTCATAAATCTGCTGGAAGGTTAGCCATGGGTTGGTTCCAACTCGACAGTACACAACAACATACATGTGTACCCACTGCCATCAAGTTGGCTCCCAACTTGCAGTAGGTTTCTAAGGCTGTCGATCTTTGTAGGAGATTGGGCCCCTTTTTCCCATGGAGAAGATCATAGATTCAAACTGCTGACCTTTCTGTTGGCAGTCCAAAGATCACATAAACTGTATTATCAGGGTGCTACCCCCATATTCCAAAGGGTTGTGTTTTAAATAACCCTCACCACCAAAACACAACTTTGCTGTTTTCATATGTTAGTATGTCATGGTTATCTTTATATCAAGATCTATCTGTTGTTGCTGCTGTTATGTGCCGTCGAGTTGCTTGCGACTCAAAGTGATCCTATCTATGTACAACAGCCCTAAACTCTGCTCTGTCCTGTGTCAATCACACTGTCTCTGATACACCATCCTGATTATCCCAGTCACTGAATCAATCCACCTCATAGAGGGCTTTCCCCTCCTGCACTGTCCCTCCACCCTCCCAAGCATGTCGTCCTTCTCAAGGACCGGTCCCTCCTTACAACATGTCCAAAGTATGTTTGACGGAGCCTCAGAATCCTTGCCTCCAAGGAGCCGTCCGATTTAACCCTTTCCAGGACGAACCTGTTTGTTTTCCTAGAAGTCCATGGTACGTTCAATACTCTTCTCCAGCACCACAGCTCAAAGGCATCAATTCTCCTTCTATCCTCCCTAGTCACTGTCCAACTCTCTGATGCATAACAAGTGATTGCAAAGACCATGGCCTGTATTGGGAGCACCTTAGTCTCCAGAGAGACCCAATTACTCTTCAGTACCCTGGAGAGGTCCCTAACAGCAGACTTTTCCATTGCAATATATCTTTTCATTTCCTGGCTGCTGGTGCCAAGAGTGTTGACTGTGGAGCAAAGCAGACTAAAGCTGTGAACAATCTCAATCTCTTCACCATCCATCCTGATACAGAACAAAATAACATTTTAAGGAATGATTTCATAGAAGACTATGTATGTTATTTACAGACATTGATAGCTTACATGCAAGAAGGGTTTCCTTTTCTCTTTCCTAAAGTAGAATTGCTGAATACTAAGAATTTTAAAAGATCATTTTGAATGAATTTTGCCACATCCAGTATGGGCTGCTGGGTCTTTTGCTCAGGGGGGGCGAGATGGGAGGCTGTGCTGTTGGTGTCTCTGAGCTATCCAGTGCCATCCTCAACACTGTGGCGACCCCACACACGCCAGAGACAGAACTGAACAGATGACCCTTTGTGACACCCTCAAGGGCCACAATGGCTGAGTGACCCAGCCTGTGACCACACCACAGTTCCCAAACATGATACTGTCCGCTTCGTGAGATAAGATCATCATGGGGAAGCTGACCAGAGGCCACATCAAAACTAGGCATCCCTCGGTGGGCACACTCACACTGTGTTACTAATGTAGTCACCTCCTCAGATGTCCAGATGGTCCTCTCTTGTTCCTGGGATAGAACGCTAGGCCTCTGTGACCTCACAATGGGCAACCAATACAGAGGATGTGCAGAATGCAGCCTTTCCTCTGACAGCAGCAGATAGTCAGAGTCTGGGTGTCTGCAAGTCATCCTGTCCAGGGTGAGTGACAAGGAGTGGGGTGTCTTGTGTCTGCTTCTCACCCAACAGCAGTAACTCCATCCTCACCTCCTGTAGCTGAACAAATTGGTCAAGTTGTGGAATTTGGCTAACTGCAGGCTGAAAACCAACCACAGTGGCCACTCAGGCTACCTGCACACTATGACTGTCTTTCCAGACGGATCCCTCTGTGCTTCTGGAGGCATGGAAGGCCCACGCTGTGGGACCTCGAGGAGAGTCAGCACCTCTCTACCCCAGGTGGTGGTGCTCTGTGCTTCAGCCTTAAACGTTGCTGTCTATGTGCTGCCACAGGCCCCAGCATCAAGATGTGGGACTTGGAGGGCAAGATCACTGTAGATGAACTGAAGCAAGAAGTTACCAGTAACAGCAGCAAAGCTGAGCCTGGCCCCTGCCCCCCGAGCCAGGGCACCTCTGGCCTTGTCTGCTGATGGCCAGACTGTTGCTGGCTACACAGATAGGCTGCTGTGAGAGTGGCAAGTGACCACTGGTACTTGGTAGAAGTTTATGACACAACTTTATAAATAAAAAAATATGGCTTTATGGCTTTAAAAAAACAAACACAAGAAACCAACACATTTTGCCACATAGCTTCTTCCAAAACTGGGAAATGTCTAATTTACACTCTCAATAAAGGTCATTATACTTGGTAACATGGATCTTTTAATATATAGATCTTTTTCTATTTATTTTATACAGATAAAAGTGGTAGCTACTTTTTATTCAATTTTAGTTTTCTTACATATAAAAAAAGTAAGAAATTCTTTCATATTTGGGGCCATTTTCCATTTGTTTTTGTGACAATTACTTGTTGCATACCTTTTTTATACTTTTTTAAAACTTTTTAAAAATTTTATTATTGTGTGTGTGTGTACCGTCAAATCAGATCTGACTGGTACAGGCGGAGATTGCCCCTCCTTCTACAGCAGAGCATCTAGTGGATTTGAACCACACACCTCTGGGATTGCAGTGCAGGTTTTTGCCACAAGGCCATCAGAGCTCCCTCAGACTTTCTTTTTAAATCCATCTTTTCCTGCAGTTCCTATTTTATCTGTGCAGTTCTTTGTATTACAGATGTGTTAAATGTATTTTGTTTTCTCAGGTTTGCTTTTTAAACTTTACCATACTAAAAAAAAAAAATCTAAACAGTCAAATCTGTATTTTTTTTTTTACATTTAGGTTTTAGTTTTCTGCACAGGTTGTTTTCCCAAAGATTTTTTCCAATTATTTTCATTGTTGTTGTAGTTGTTATGTGCCATTGAGTCACTTGTGACTGATAGCGACCCTATGTACAACAGCTCTGAAACCTGCTTTATCCTGTGCCAACTTTACTGTCTCTGACACACCTACCCTCATTACCCCAGTCACTGTATCAGTCCATCTCATTGATGGTCTCCCTCTTTTTCTCCATCTCTCCATCCTTCTAAGCATGACATCCCTCTCCAAGGACTCCTTGTAACATGCCCAAAATATGTCAGACAAAGCCTCAAAATCCTTGCCTCCAAAGAGCAGCCTACCTTCACTCTCACTAGGATGAACTGTTTGTTCTCCTGGCAGTCTATGGTATATTCAACACTCTTCTCTGGCACCAAAACTCAAAGGCATCAATTCTCTATCATCCCT